TATATATATATATATATATATATAAGAACGGTTTGTACTGACAGAAGGAATAGGTTAATTTTAACAGGTTGATATTTATTAAAGCATTTGTAAAATCGGGCAATATTAAAGTAAGTTTGAGGGTGCTTGACGAGGTCACACAGGCTCTGGTGAGTGTTATAGTGCGTTTTATAGTCATAGTGGTATTAATGTTAGGTATTTTCTATTTCTGCCAACACTCAAAATGTTAAGAAATTGTTTTGGACATTTAGATTATTTTTCTAATTTGAAATAGTTTTTATTATTAGGTAGTGACACCAGAAACTAAAATGTTATGGTTAGTCAACACCACAAACTGCCAATCTAATCTGGTGATGGAGATAATTCAATAGATGAAGCTGACAATCAGAATTGAACAATTGAAAACCATTCTAATCCACAATTCATTCACAAGGTGAATGCAAGTTTATAATAAATATTTCACATATCTGTACTTGTGAATCTGACAGTGTTGATCCATATCGAAAGATGGCAATTTTAAGAAAAACATTTAGAAGATTCCACCAAATGTAAATGAATACCCCTAGTGGAAAAAAAAAGTAATATATTTAAAATACATTTATTTCATACTATGTGTAGTTCAAATTTGTTAACATATTTACTTGCATATCGCTTGAGACTTACTGATATTAAAATTATAATTAAACTTTTTTTTTTGAGTGCTTCTTGTGCACAATGCACATTTCTTAATATTAAACCTAAAATGTGTTTTAATGTCACTATTAATAAGGATTGTATGATCTTTGAATAATATTGGTCTTAAAATTCAAGATATTTAAAGTGTACTCGAAGTATACTTGCAATATTTCCACTTTAGCACAATCAAATCTACTTCAGTATATCTTTAGTTGGACTTCAGCACTACTTTCGTAGAATTAAAGTGAATTAAGTACAAAATTAGTTGTTCCAGTTTAGAATACTAAAAGTACAATTTCAGGGCATTTTTATTAAGTACATAACTACAGGTGCATCTCAATAAATTAGAATGTCGTGGAACTTTTCCACGACATTCTAATTTATTGAGATGCACCTGTATGCAAATGTATTTGTAGTATACTTAAAAAGTATTTTAAATACATTTTAGTATATTTATTTCTCACTGGGACGTCTTAACATGTTTAACATTTACTATAGCTAAAATAGTTTCTTAGAACATGAACTTGTATTTTCTTATTTATGTAGAATGTTTTCAAAAATCAGTAAACTACAATTTATGCAGCAGATGTGCAGCCTTTAAAATGAGAAGTGTTTACTTCATAAGTAATTTACATTAAAAATTATAAAATACATAGCATACATTTTTATAGGCTATAAGCAATAATGAAAACTCCTGAACCCACAAATAGGAAAAATACACAAAGATAGAGACTTGAACAAAATATCATCTTTATTCTGCAAGAGAACTGAATATTGTGGAGTTCCATTGATTATATACATGAGTTCACCTCATAACAAACAGAGAGTCTACAACCAATACAAACTATTGTAACAGATACAAGAAAATGTTTTGTGATGGAAATCATAACTGAAGAATACCGATAAGTCAGAAGCAACAATGATACTCAAATACTGAGAGAGAGGATTTCTGACATCTCTTGTTCTCTACATGCAGAGCTAAGTATCTCATGTCCTTTTGTGCCAGAACTTGTCTAATAAAACATGAAACACTTGTTTATAGAAGCATAAATGGACTGGAGCCAGTGCAACACGTTTATTTTCTTTGCAGTATGTATGTTTTTTGGACATCGAGAACCCGTGGCTTATTGCTCAAGCTGAGTCTATAAAAGTCCAGAGATGAAAACACTGCTGGTGTTAAGGAAATATTTAGATTTATGCAGAATAAAAGTGAGTATTCAGTCAATAAGATGATCAGAGTATGAAGAAAACACATTAGTTTAAAGGTCTCAGATGAGATGCATTTATATGTTACGGAGTCGGTTGTGCAAACGGTATTGAACACGCTGTTGTCTATTGCTTCAGCTCCTCAGTCTCAGTTTTTGTGACCATCATTTTGCTTTTAGTCACTGCAACAAAGGGCTCCAACTTATTTCAGCTGAAAAAGCAGACTTTTGTGGGACAGCTGTGGTAAGAACACAAAAGACTCCCAATGAGAATCACAACATATTCAAACCTGACTGCAAATAAAACTTTGCAGAACTGCACAAGGGGGCAACAGCCAGTGCTAGTTAACAGTCCGGAAATAACCTTAGCCAGGTCTTCTAGTCATAACACCTGCTTTGTACAGAGTCTAACTGAAAACTCAAGCGGTTATGAGTCAAGAAAGGTTGTTTTGGTACATGTCCAAACCCTCTGAGCTTTTGAAGCAATGCACTGTTGATTCTGTCGGCTTGTTATAATGTGTGAGCTTCCCCCATTCCCACTTCAATACAAATAGAAGCACTCTAGTAAATGTCTCTCATACGAATTCCCAATGCAATGCTTTTCATGTCCCTGAAAACGTCCGGAAGGAAAAAGAAAAACAGAATATTTCATGCTTTCTTGAGTATAGGAACAAAGAAAACCAACAAACCCCACTGCTTTCTGCGCTGCAGAGAATGACAATCACTTTTCTGTTTTTCTTAAAGAAACCATACATTTCTGTGTGGTATAGGGTTGTCCGTTTTCTTTAATGAATTTATCAAAACAGAAAGAAAAAGCAACAATGACTCCAGCTGGAGTGAACGCAAGACTATTCTGTAAAGAAAAGAGGCATAGAAACACTTGATTTTGGTAACTTTAGAGGTGGTTTAGTGACCTAACGGACAAATTAATGACAAAGAATAACTGATGCCACGCACACACACACAAAAAAGCATTTATCCTTTACAAACAAGTGAGTGCAAAAATGAATCCGCTTTAGGCCAGACTGTTCAATTTGAGGCTTAACAAAACTACATTTCATTTCGGTAAACAAATTGTCATCAGTTGTTTTTTTTGAAATGGCAAAAAATGGACCCCCAGCCAATCCACAGTGAACCCTTCAATATACGGACAGTAATAAAGACATCGTTATTTTGCCAGACAAGTGATGGGCTAGCGATAGCAACCCAAAAACTAAGACACAAAATTAAGTTTGCATGAAAGCAAGGCAACTGAAATACAAGGGAAGAAAATTATGCGTCTCTTCAACACTAGAGCTACCCAAGAAAATAAAACAAACCAAACTTAAATCTTTGGTCTCAACGCCTGGGAAAACGCTAATAAATGTAGCAAAAAAGTGATTAAAACATTTTTTTTTCCAAACGATATCAATATGATGTGTGCTATACTGGACTCCAATAATAAGCTCTGTGAACATAAATAAGCCCCTTTACTTTCAACAAAACACACAAGTTGAGTTCCAGGCTGAAGAGTAAACATGTTCAGACACGTTTTATACTCGATCCACTCATGCCATAAAAGGGATTTCCTGTGTTTTAATAAATGTATCTATGTATTATTAAAGACATTCAATGGTGAGTGATGCAAGAGTTCAAGTAATAGACAGGGGCCCGTCTGGGGCCAGGCTTAAAAAAACTAAACAAAACAAACACAAAAAAAACCACGAATCTGAAACTCAAACCATTTGGAGGATAGAATAAAATGAAAATAAAGCTGGACCTATGATATACACCGTAACCAAAAGCTTTCCACAGAAAAAATGGCAACACCAAGGCTGCAAAGACGTATTTGCGAACGGTCGCACACAGAACTAAAATCAAGCAGCTGATCTGCTGAGGCTAGCGTGTTCTGGTCGTGCCACAGCGATGCTAGAGCAGACAAGACAAGAACGCCGAGTTCTGCCAGTAACATCCAATCAAACCCAAGAAAACCACAGCCACTTGCAATAGCAAATAGACGAGCAACTGAAAAGAACAGTGGATGGGAAAAACCTCCATCAGTATCCCTGTCTGCATGTGGTTTTCATTAGGACTCTAGGTTGTAAGTTCATCTCAACAGCTGCTCTGTCTGTTTCCAAACTAACCCACCAAAAGACTCCCAAGTTTTCCATCTCAAATAATGCAGATCACATTAGAAGCAATTAACAACACAACCTCATGAAAAAAAAACTACTATTTTACGATTTGGCAATTGTTTTGATTCATACGAAAACTTCCACACAAAACGGTACAGTTGTTTGAATTTGCCACCAATTTGCCAAAACATAAAATAGTTAGAAATTGCCATTAGAGTGTTTTGACAAATAATGTAATTACATTTTCAGTTGAATTCACTATATGCTGCTTTTTCTAACGCAGCATGCTGTGCGAGGAGTGAGACGGGTAGTTGCAGTGGTGGGTGAGGGCTGTCTGTGCTGGTTAATGACCTGTAAGACTGTAACAGGCTTATACAACTCAATTGTAAAAAGGGGAAACTGTGGGAGAAAACGAAAAATAACAATGTGAACTTCAATACTGGACACCTGCATGCCAGAAGTCCAACAAAAACAGGAAGTGATATAACTGATGTACCGACAGTGAATATTGTGCATATAGCTTTGAATATTTTCATAAAGGTTTTATTGTGCGACATTAAAACCAACAGGCAACCAAACAATGAAAAGTGTAATATCGCTTTTCTGATACAGAATGAGTCAACCTGCTAAAGAGAGAAGCACTAGGCAATAAAGGGGCTTTTTTTTTTTTTTTTAAAAGGAAATTCTTTTAAAGGTTCAAGTGATTATCGCTTTTTGATGCCACTGAGAGCAGTTTGTTTTATCTCTCTGACAGACCACTTCTCTACCATCAAAAGCTGGATTGCACTTTTTTTGAAGTTACGTACTACTAAAGCACATCTGCTCAAACACTGCTCCCGCTTACTGAAGAACATCTTTTGAACATGTTTGACAGGTACACAAATCCAATTAAGCATTAAGATGCCACATCAGTTAAAAACCACGAGTAATTGTTTTTGTTTTTTTCAAATTTGGTGCAGCGGTCAGTTGTCATTTCTATATAAGTGCTTTATGTCGACTGTGTCTGTGCATGCGATTTTGGTTCTTAAAAAATGTGGAGCTTCTGTTCACAGTACACAGATCCAAACTATTTTAAGTAGTTTGCAAACTAGGTGTATTAAGTGTAATTTCGCTCAATTAATACAAGCCAATTTTATCACTAGTAAAAAAAAAGGGTCCTCCCCTGGCCAACTTTGGTCTCTGCACTGAGCTGTAGCGATCTTAACTGCTTAGGAAAGGACAACATTTTTGATCCAGCCAAACAGAAAACAAGGACAAAAAAAACCCCACACCCCTCTAATGTTAGTGTTAAAACAAACTTTTGTTTTTAAGACTACAACACATTTTCACTTGTGCCCTCCCAAACCATCCCACAACCCCTCGTTCAGCAGCAGTCACTGTGAGAACACTCTGGAAAGTGTCAGTCGTCTGTTTGCTACAGTTTTTGCCTTTTTTAAACACTTAAAGAGAGAGATGGAAACATTTAAACTAAATATTTTCCTGCTTTACATATAGTCAATTAAGAATTCTGCAAAGACAATACAAAGAAATAAAATAAAAAAAAAAACAGCTGAATGAAAAATAGAGAAATGTGAGAAAACAGAGGCAGGAAAAAAAAAAGCTTAAGCTAAAATGGAGCATGTAAAGTCCCAGCTGGAGTTTAGGAAGCAGCGCGGGTCACCTTAAACTCGCCTCCTCTGCTTCCTTTGCTTTTTTCACATTCACAAACATTTAAAACTTCCTTTTTTTTTTTTTTTTTTTTTTTTTGGGGGGGCGAGTCTTCATCTCCGAGGGCCTGAGGGCATCTGTGCATACACTGGGTACGCCAGCCGCACGTTGAGCGAGTCGTTGTGCTGGACCAGTGAGGTCTGGTGATAGTGCAGGACCAATTCTTTCAGAGTGCTGTACAAGTTGTAGGGCTCAGCGAAACCGTAGCCGCGGGGTGTGCTGTAGATGACGCAGTGCTTCACCTCGCCGTCCACACTACAGACAGAAACATGACAGATCTCATTATCAATGTGATTTCGAACCAGAATCTGACCTCAGACAAAGATAAAGGCAATCCGTTTGCTCAATGACAACCAAAGTTAATATCGCTGTAGAGGTGATAATCAAAGAGAATCAATACATTGATTTGTTTCTTGTAGCTGGGGAAAGGTAGAGTCTTAACATTGAAATGTCTATGAAAAATACATCTAATTTTATATATGCCTATTTGATATCAAAACAGAGGAGATGAGATGGAAAATTGGGGACAGAGAATGTAAATATGAGACTTGATCTGAACTTGATACAAAAAAAAAAAGACTGAAATGGTCTTAATGTTAAAATTTTAATGCGAGTTTATCATTTCATATACTATTGTTAATGTAAATGTAATTTTCTTTTAAAATACATGCTATTTTTGTAAATAGACAAACTGTAACATGACAAAATTTACTTAATATTACCAAATTTTGCTATAAGTTTAATCGCAACAATCATTGCAGTAAATAGTGTTCACCGTCTGTCTGATTACATGTCGTTAACTAACTGCATGAATTTTACTGTAAATTTTTGCCATATGGACATCAACTTGACAGTCACCACTCATAAGCTACTACTAAATATAGAAACTTAAATTTTCTGTAAAGCTGCTTTGCAAAGATTTGTATTGTGAAAAGCACTATCACGATGATGCATGTTCTTTTGTGTTAAAGTACAAAAATGTCAGGGTTGATGATACTAAAAATCTTTATTTTGTGTTTGGCATAATAGATGAGCATTATGTATTTGATTAGTATTCTTTTAATTTTTTTTTATTTCTTTTTTTTTTTTTTACAAAAAATGTAATTAATATTTGAAAAACACCTTAACTTAATTATTTCATAAATATATTTGACCTTGAAAAATATATACATGTGTTTGGTGAAAAACAAAAAAAAAAAAAAAAAAAAAAAAAAAAAAGAGGCAAAAACCTATAGGCCATGGAGGTATACACTAGTCTAAGAAAACCATTTGTAGACACAGAATCATCATTCTCCCATTTCATTGGCATAACTATAACCTCACTATGTCTACATCTTAAGATACTCACACAACAGAGCAGGCATAACAGCCCTTCTTGCTGCTCTCGCGGATGAGGAAGGCTCCTTCGGGTTTGCCGTGTAGCAAGTCCTCAGCCTGCGTTCGGTTTAGGTCCCCCACAAACCAGCTCTTCTCATCGTAGTGTGGCAGATTCTCATCCTCCTCACTGACGAAGTAGGCACTGCGAGAGGAAATGTGTTAGATGCTGTGATGGAGCCAGTCATTTGATCTCAAATTTCAAGTAATATAAGACAATTTGACTTACTCATCCGTGTTCTCGTTTTTGATCCCCAGCCAATCGTTTATTCGTTTCTGTCGAACACCTTTATGATTGAGCCAGCTGCATGAGAAAGAAGCAGTGGAGTGTTTATACATGGAGGAAAAACTGTCAACAATGAAGATGACGAAATGAGGTGCAAAGGAATGTTCTTCTTACACAAGGTACTGATCTCTAATCTTTCTGAGCTGAATGAGATCTGGCTTTAAGCTGTTCATTTTCTTGTCCGTCTCCCTGTTGTCCAGAGCCTGTGTTTTAAGGTCCTGTTCAAGCCGGGTCTTACTGTCGTGAATCTCGCCAAGACGGGATTTGAGCTTCTCGTAGTTCATCATGATCCTGAAAAAGAAACGAGAACGATTTGTCAACCCACAGATCAAGGTTGCCGACCAAAGCGCTCCTCGACATTGTGGATGTGTGCAATTATTTAGGAGGTGCGCTGCTGTGGCAATAAACAAAGTAATATTTCATGCCAAAAGCATCCTGCTGCCTCTGCAGTTTCACTCACAACAAGCTGCACAATTCATTCAGCAAACACGCTCTTTAGGGCCGGAGCGAGGGAGGGAGAGGTGGGAGGACATAGAGGTAAAAGGAAAGGAAGGGATTGCTGTAAATGTGATACCCCCGCCCTCAATCTAAACCCATTTACCTGCTGGTAGCGGGAGACGGGATACATGAGCTTTACGTCCAGTTTGGTGTTGTACTGGGCCAGTGACTCATGCCTGTAGTGACTGATGAGCTCCACCACTGAGCTGAACGTGAGCGGGTCTGAGAAACCGTACTTCCCATCCCGGTGGTAGATCTTTATTAGCTTATTGTTTCCACCTTTCCTGTAGGGAAAAAAAGATTGCGTTGGACCACGGATCAATGTAAGCTGAATGGAGAGGGTTTAAAACAAGTAGAAGCTTTCCAAAATATTAGTTACCTTAGTGTTAGTGTGTAATCTCCCTGCATCTTGGTCGAGGCGTCCCGTACCAGGAAAGTACCATCGGGCATGTCTCTAAGTTTGTCGTTCACCTCTTCCCTGCACAGAAAAAAAGACAGATACTCCACACATCAAATCTTGCGCTTAATAATTAATAATTACAGCTAAAATAAGTTTTCCGTGGACTGTCCTATACTAAATGGAAAGGGCTGACACACACGCAAAAAAACATGCCTGGCTGTATAAATAAATTTGGTCTGGCAGAGGGCAAAGGCACTGGTCTGTGACCATACTGTCTGCTACAGCAGTCTGGGAGAGAGTGAGACATCTTTGAATGGTTTAACTGTTGACCCCGTCCTGCACACCCACATGTACGCCGATGCCTCCAGCTCTTGTCTTAAAATCAGACAGTCTGTCTCTTTAAAAGTGCCTCCAGACGACCAGAGGAGGAGCTGTCAGGCTTCAAAGACTATCCTGCTTTTTTGCCCCCTTCTCTATTTTAGTCTGTCTGGGAGGAATGTCACACCCCCCGACTTCCAGGCCTCCTCCCATTCTCCCGACAGCCAAGAGCCTAGTCATGCTGGAGCTCAGCTGACCCCGGCCCTGGCTCTTAGGGAAGTTGTGGCCTAATGGTTAGAGAGTCGGACTCATAACCCAAAGGTTGTGGGTTCGAGTCTCGTACCGGCAGGGATTGTAGGTGGGGGGAGTGAATGTACAGCGCTCTCTCCCACCTTCAATACCACGACTGAGGTGCCCTTGAGCAAGGCACCGAACCCCCAACTGCTCCACGGGCGCCGCAGCATAAATGGCTGCCCACTGCTCCGGGTGTGTGTGTGTTCACTGCTGTGTGTGTGCACTTTGGATGGGATAAATGCAGAGCACTAATTCCGAGTATGGGTCACCATACTTGGCCACATGTCACGTCACTTAGGAGGGGGTATATTTAGCCTACTTTGGGCTGCTGAGTTAAGGAGCCTTTGACTAAGCAGTGCTCCCACCTTTCTGGGGGAGGAGGCCTCTCTTACATCCTGCACTGGGAGCTGTGGGAATCAGGTGCATTTTTAGGCTGCAGTGCATCAGCAAGTTCATTGTTTAGGGGAGGTGTCCTATTTTAGTAGCCTGTTTGGCAAGCAGCAGTAACGTCAGTGTGAAGTGGAAAATCTGGGATGTGTTTTTGCATTCAAAAACATCCAGATAGAGGAGATATTTGGACAATGACTCAAATTCAATAAAATTATTGCAAGTTATGCAGCCTTAATAATCACTTAATAATAATTGTTTATCAAAATTATCGAGACAAACATATCTGTGGAATAACAGGCACAATTTTGCACACAAATTAAAGAGTAGGCCTACATATTGTAAATAAATAGTCAATTTTGATTTCATCTAAGCTCAAGCCTACAAGAAAATCAGAAATCCACAACAGGCATGCTGATGATTAACATGGCTGGGAACCATTACTACGTACTCAACTAAAATTTAAATCTGATCTCTCATAAGTTAAATCTCTCAATGCACTACCACTGCTTTAACCAAGTACTAGTATGGTTGTATAGTAGTAATTTTATAATAGGATTTTTAACACATTCTTCACCGAGACCATAATGGCAGTCCATATTTAAAATTTAACAGCAAGCATCACTGTACTTTGGGAGTTCTTTATTTGATGCCTAGAGTTTAGTTACTTTCTGATTTTGAAACTAGTAAGCACTGAGCATAGGTTTGAAGTGAAAAGCAGATCTGGTTTATCTGCAGAAGCGACTGTGTGAGTTAAAGGATAGCAGGGCTTCAGAGATTGGTGAGCCTCTGAGCATTTCTGCAGAATTTCTACTTGCCCAACATCAAACGAGTCTAAAGCTGGTCACTAAGCAGCAGACTAATCTGCTAAAACCTGAGCGTTTTATGGGTTGTGTTGGAAACTGGCCAGACAGCTTGACATTTTGGAGATTTGGGTTCTTCTATCCCTCCCCTTAAGTAATGGCAACTAAACCACCCCCTGTCTTTCTCTTTTCAGCTCTTCCTGTGTCTCTCCCCCACTGCATTGCCTTTCTGCTTTTGTACAGCTGCGGCAAAGCATACATGCCTCCAGGATAAGTGAGCCAAAAGAAGAGGAGAGGATCAAAATAAGTTCACCAGCTCACATAAAGAAAGAAAAAGAACGGAAAACGTTTGCAGAGCAGCTGAAAGAGCAACATGACACTGCAGAGCTGACTCCACCTCAGGCTACCAACTTGGAAGCCATCAGGTGGAGGGATGGGAAGATCTGACATCTCCCAACAGTCAAGTAACAACTCAGAGAACTTTTCATCTGATCCAAATGCAGTCTTATGACTGTACTGGCCAACTATCACCTGACTTGCACACTGCCGTACGTGTCCACCACGTGATGAGGGCAGTCACACTATGAGCTAACTGGCATGAGGAAAGATTTTCAGAGCAAAACAGACAGAAATCCAATCAAGTGAGAAATGAAGTCTAGTGTCAAGTGACTCTTACCTTGATATGTCTCCCCAGTACCATTCTGCTTCTTGCAATGAGCCGCTGGCGGCTTCTTTCACACCGTTGCCATTTACTGGTGTCATGGGTTTTGTTGGCTTGGGAGGAAGAGCTGCAGAAGAAATGAGAAAGGTTTATTTTAGTGGAAAATCTTCTAACCTCATGAGCAATCCTAGAAATATGAAGTTGATGTTACGACCTTACAGATAAAAGCCTAATCTTCTTAAAGAATAAACTAAGCGGACGTCATGTTAACAAATGGCTGTGTTGTTCATCCTCATGAATAAGGTTAAGTTGCTAAGAGAATCCAAATTTGAACTTAAAATGGTAGGAATACAATATAGATGTAGGCCTATATATATATATATATATATATATATATAAAAACACACTGCTTTGGGATAGTGTTTTTTTGTCTTTTAATATTTTTGCGTAGTACTGACAGTCGAATAGTAGTAAGGTTTCCGCCCAGGATCAACTATTGACCTTTAGCCCTTCATTATCCCATAGATGGCCTTTCAATACTCTCCTCCATCACATCATGTGTAGTTAGACGAGCTTGTTTCAGAAAATGCAACAGTGATTTCCACTGAAAATGCAAAAGATCAGTTTTCACGGAAAATGCAACAACAACATATTCCATTTGGCCCAAGCGAAAGTGTAAACAAAAAACAAATGACCTTCTCTGCCAGTCTTGCTTTTCTTCTAATTGCTGAATATGTAATGAACAGGTTCCTTTCCTTTGAGTGATATGCTTCCTTTGTTGCAAGCAAAAGCAAACAACAGCTGCCTCAACAGCACGCTGGAAAGCTAACGCTGATGATGCTCTTGCTATCTTGTGGGTCAGGGGTCACCAGAACGTGCTGCTCAGCCACGCAGTGCATCATGATGCCCTCACTCACAGAAATATTGCTGAGAGAGTATTGCTGTGTGTTACATCTCCACAGCATGCATTCTCATGTCTAATCTCCTGATGTTAATTTTTCAACCTTAGAGCCAAAACTAGACTTGAATGACGGTTAAATGCCATGCAAATTTGTCGTTACACCATTTAACAAGACTAGATGAATCTAGGGATGTAACGGCAGCTGCTCTAAACAAGGTATTCACGTGTTTCTGTGTTCAAGTGCTTCAGGGAAACCTTCAAGACCAGGTGCGGTTGGCAAATACTAGTCTGAGACAAAAAAACAACAACTGAAGGCTGCAACTCCATCTGAAATGTACAGAGACATAGTGTTCAAGCCTTGCACCTACCGCCAAGCCAAACTAACCTCCCCCGACCTAGATGAAACTTGCAACAGGGGTCTTGAAACAGCAACGCACCACTCCATTGTCAATGTACAGGTTTATTCAGAAGGCTTTTAAGTGAAACCAAAGACATGCTCCAAGCAGTACTAGCGGACTGTTTAGGGAGGACGTGGCTCATGCAGATTATTGCCATAATTAATTCAAATATGACCACATCATTAAAAAAGTCAAGTTTCTTTAAAAACAGTCACCTTAGCCTGGCAAAGACAAGGCTGCGTGAGAGCGGGTGTATATCTATGCCAGGACAGGGGAGGGGGAGTGGCCTGCTGCATTAGGAAATGGGGAAGGCATGGAGTAAGTGAGCATACGGATGTCATAAAAGCCCAAGCTGATTCCAGAAACCCCTGGGCCCTTCTAGCCAAAGCAACCTCTATCTGGTATGCGAATGAAAAGAGGCAAGACTAAGGTTCAATACACCGGAGGTGAGTCACGGAAATAAAAGCCCACAGGGACATGCATTGCACAGTATAGCCAATGAATGAATCATTGCTGCTGGCACACTGTGGAATGACCCACTGCTCCGCACACAATTGGCTCCTTTAATAGGAAATAATAATAATAAAATCGTTAAAGATCAGAGAAGAGATGAAGACTCTCTGAAGAAAGAGAGAGAGAGAAAGACACTTTCTTGTGTTGCCATTTCAGTACTTTAAATTTCTAAAGTTTTCATTGAAGTTTTATTACTTCCGACTAGACTTGTGCCGGTATTCGGTAATGCGATATATCACGGTAATGAATATGCACGATATTGTTATTGTGGGCACTTCTAAATAAAAGTATCGGTATCGGGCGAGTACTGGAAAAAGTGGTATCGGCTGTGTAAAACTTTTAACTTTATACATTTTTCTGTATTGCATTTATTTTACTGTATTTTTCTTTATTGCATTTAAATGTTCAGTTATTTTTGTTATAAGAAAAAAGTTATTAAACCTGTTATACTGTATTATGACAGCACTTTTTTAAAAACTTAATTTCAATATCGTGATAATACCGTATACCGTAATAAAAGCATTAGCAATTAATCGCAACATGAAAATTTGATACCGGCATATCCCTATTCCCGACATTGCAAACATTTGTGGATTGAAGATCATTATGGTTCTTTAAAGTTTCGGTGTGCAGGAAGAGAGGTGTGTGAATGGCTTTCTTGGAGGGTGTCATTAATTAAAAGCAGTGGTGGTTTTTGTAGTGAGAGTGCATGAGTGTAGTCGGAGACCCGGGCACAGTGACAACTACTTCCTCCACTGGCCCACAGGAAACACTTTAATCTGGTAGGGTGTGCGGCTTCAACCAGTCAAAGCAAAGCCAGGCTAACGGACACATCCCCACCCAAACTCTGCTCCTGCAGGTGTGCGCACACACTATTCCTACATTTTAGTTGGTCTGAGGCTACGTCCACACAAAGCCAGAGCTTTCCCAATCCGATCTTTTTTTTCCCCCTCGTCTCAAGAAATATCTGACCGACACAAAACTATGTAGTATACATGCCAGACCAGCATGTGGCGCTGTAATTCTGCCATAGAGATACACTAAAAACGGAGACGACTTGGACTATGCGCATAAACCTTGTGCGCGGTATACAAACGAACATGGAACAATACATTTATTAATCTGTGTTACTGTTAGTTAATAAAAAGACAATCGTTCAGTGTGTGTTCATGTTTTTGTTGCCGTTACGTGACGTAGCGGTGTCTGACTAGGGGCGAGAAGTGGGCTGATGATGTCATCGTTTCAGAAAATATACGGATTCGCTGTCCACACGAAAATGCAAGGGTGGCATTTTCAGATTAGTCCACTCTGGGACCCGGTTTCAAAAAATATCGGTTTAACTCTGCCTAAACGCCGGATCCGTCTGGACGAAACGCCTATACGATACAAAATTTATGCGTATACAGCTAAACACGTCTCCATGCGGATGGGGCCTGAGAGGAGATCAGCCAAATGCCTTGAATGGAAAATGAACATTTCTTCAAAGAAATTACTTAAATATGGCATCCCTGTGCACTTTCCTGTTGTCACAAATTTTAGGGGGAGTGTTCACCACCTGGTAGGGGACCGTTTGTGCAGCATAGCAGCTTATGAAGAGTCATTTGACAATGTATAACCTTCTGTTCCCTCTACGCCAACACAATAATCACCATATTAATATTACATTTGCAAATACCCGCGTGGCTCACCTCCTCCACTCCCTAATGTAATTTAGAGACACAATAAACCGAGATTCAATCTCTCACTATTCAATACTAACACACAAACACATTTCTATATATATATATATATATAGCATATATTTCAGCCTGATATTTTCAGAAAGCCCCTTTCAGAGCGACAGTAGCAGGCTTCCACCAGAAAGGGAAATGACCCCCCTTTTTCTCACTCGCTCTCTACAGCAACCAAAAGGCAGGTGCACAAGCCCAGCTGAAACCTCAAATTCCTGCCTACCAGTTTTCCACTGTCAGCTCTTTCTGTAAGTGTGTGACCACCTTTGTCCTACACACACACTTGGTTATCTTTGTGAGCTAGTGATGGGGTGTGAGCACAAAAAGAACATGGAAAACGGAAGGAAACAGAGCAAGAAAGAGGCAGAGATGTGACTAGGTGATCTCATTACAGCGGTCACCCCATCTGTGTTAGTGTCAGAGATATCGCAGCTGGGGGGCACACAATGGAAAGTCCACAGTCACAGAATGCAGTCATTTTTAAAGCTACCATTCACCGATTCAAACTAATTACGATCATGATTTATGGCAAAACTGAACAAACAAAGGGTGTCAATTTAAATGACAATTTCTACAACAGTAAACTAGCCCAGTATGCTTCACAATAAAAGCAAAACAAATAAATTAAGGTAATTTAAAAAAAATAAATTGTAAGATATCATTTTATAATTTTAAAATATTATTATATTTTCTAAATAACAAACTTTTAATGAAAGATGAAAAGGGAAATGTGAGAAAAAGAAAGTGACCAGGATGTAGGATGGAAAGGATGAGAAAGAATGAGAAGGAGTGAGTGGCAATGCAGCGCTGCAGAGCTGCGCAAGTCTGAACAAAGAAAACTATACATTCCATAGGTAAAGCCTATGGCGATCGGCGACCAAGCAGTCCATTGTTTAGGAAACAAATATAAATGGCAACATGCAGTTCAGAACATCATCTCCAGAGGTAATTGTTCTGCAGCCGTGCTCTTATGCACAGTAACGAAAAGATATGTTCAAACTTCTGGTTCTACAGGTGATGGAGCTGATAAAGTAACGGTACTTTGAAAGACAACACAAAAATAGACTGACACCACACACACACAAAAAAGTTTAGTATGTACAAATTAGGGGGTGCATTAGCATGAGAAAAAGCATGTGGCAGAGAGTGATGACAGTGCCGTTGAGGGGAGCAGCAGGCGAGGGCTGCCACGTCCCGATCCAGGGGGAATGAATTAAAAGTGTCACCAAGCACATGGGTGGTTTAAATAGTCCATCGGGGACGCTCACAATCACATGTGAAACCATACGTGCTCTGTGCACATATTATCATGATGCACTGTCACCATCCACTCCTAATGAATGACTAAAAGACAATCCTTGCAGCTGAACTCTTAAAACAGCCTCAAATTCCTTTTTAATAAAATAAAAATCACAAAACAAGAAAAATGAAGTACAACTATCAAGGATTACACGTCCTGGAAAAAGCATGGTTCTTACGTTAATTCATGTTGACAACAGCGCATGTTTCCATCCAAACAAAATCCAGGACACTTCCCACACAATAGGACAAACACTAATTGTCATTGTGCTCCCCTGACAGTCTG